AAATTTTATATAAAAATAAATCCTTATTTATATTTAAGATGTTTGTTTTGACATTTTATATAATAATTATAAATTATTAAATCTAATAAAATAAATTAAATATTTAAAAATATAATTATTAATTATTAATTATTCTTTGTCAATTATCAATTATATTCAACACTACAACCAGGCTATGATATAGGAGTACCTAGAGTGGTTATTGGATCAGCTAATTGACAAATGCATACCAATGGATATGATAACATAATATGAAAACAAAAATTATGTTTGTAGGTCTTAGATTGCTAAAAAAATGCCAACAAACAAAATCCTCCAGTGATGAATTCTCTCGAAAGGAAATAAGAAATTTTAAGTAGACAACAATGAAGGTAGGTGAGAATGGCAAAAACCTATTTTTAGTTCCTCACTTTATTAAGTTTGAAAGTTTTAATCTCTCTTCTTATATTATAATATTTTAAACTTTTTATTTTATTAGATTGGTAAGTTTTAACTTTATCATCTTATATCATGATATTTTTAGCTTTTCATTTATTAAAATTGAAAAAAAAACTCATACTTTGTAATATTTTATTAGTTCTGTTACTTAATTATTAACTGATAAAAACCTTTTTTTAATTAACAAAATTAACAGAATTAATTTTATAATATTTTGTTCATTTTATTAACTAACTATTAGTTGATTGTTAGTTGATACAAATTTACTTTCAATTAATAAAAATAACAATCAGTATAAAATGAGAATTATTTTTTTTTATTTTAATAAGTGGAAAGTTAAAACTTTTTAATTTGATAAGATAAAAAATTAAAAATAAATTTTTACCAATGAAAATGAGATGAACAAGGGAATAAAACAAAATTGTCTCCTATAATTTACTAGTCAAAATTAAAGACAAAATTAAGAAGAAGAGATAAAGAGGTATCAATTTTTTAATAATTATGAGCAACAAAAAGGACAAATTAATCCCCCATTGCTGACACTTTCTGATCCAAGGAACAGTACTGTTCACATCTAAATGCTGAATTGCTGATGATGCCCAAAAAATGACGACAAAAAACTTCAAAAAGCATTATCAATGGCGCAAAACCGTACACTGGTATCGGTGGCCTATGGTGGCTCCTCTTTACCCATCGGTCTTCCATCTCTTCACCATATTAAATAACTAAGCAACACAGTACTACTCCTCTCCTTCCCTGTACAAATGTGTACTTAGTACTAAATATATAAAGATTTGTCTATATATCATTCTTCAACTGCATGTTGAAGTTGCAACAAAATCTTCTTTTAGTAATTAATTTA